TATTCTAAAAGAAACATAACAATATTGTTTTATGTACTTTCACTTTTCACGTATAGTATAACTACTCTTTAAGATTAAGTACTGTGTATCTCAAAAACCAGAGCTAATAAAAATTTTTCATTGTTATTTTCGTTTTTATCACCCCAAAATTAGTAGAAATTGACTAATTTAGTGTAGGAAACATTCAAAAAAAATTTTTTTGTTGTGTTAATGGATATTCAGTACTTTGACACGCCAGTTGAAATGAAAAGTCACCTTGCTCGAAAATAAACATCAAGTTGTTTTTCAGGCATTTGAAGATTTCCTATTATGAAGACTTTCTGGTATTCATATCCTTAGATTTTATACTAAATCAAATCTTGCTGAATATTTTCAGGAACTGTCAATTTATTTTTCTGCAATGGATTATGATGTAATGTATTATTGCTTCATTTTGTTTGACATCTGATTGTGGGATAACACATCATGGAATAAACTGCATATCATTATCATATTGTTGACGCTAATTATAATTGAAATTGATGAGAGCATTTTCATTGAACAGTTTTGCTGCGATAATATTTAACGTACCTACCTTGAAGCGTTGACAATACATAATTTGATTTTCATGTTTCTGACAACTTTTAACGTCGAAGGAAAAAAACAAATGTTTGAATTGGAAGAAATATATTTCTAGAAGATATTAGTTTTTGGGAAAGAAAGCTTTTTGGTTTTTTCACTTTTCATCTCTATAGAGAAAATATGGAAAACTCGCAAAGGAAGGCAGAACACAATATATTTCAAATTGAACTCTTCACGAAGATGTGTAGTTCATGCATAGAAGTTACTTTCAGGTACAAACTGGATGATAAATTTTTCCGAAATACCTACTTCTATATAAACATTGAATTACACGAACTGAAAAAACTTTCGAAACGAATATTTTTATATTAACATTATACGAAATCAGTTTTATCTATTCGGTTCGTACTCCAAACATTCATTATGGAATTGAGTTAGATATCATCCATGAAAAAGCTACACAATATAATGAAGAAAAGAGAAATGAAACTTTCTATATTTTTTACCACTTTTATTTGTAACTAACGTTACTGCAGTTTTGCTCTATACAGACATTTTCAAACTTATACAATATGTATATTTGATTTATACTTCAAATTTAACTTATACAATTGTATAAGTTTGAAAATGTTCGTATAGAACGTAACTGCAGTAACGATAGTTACAAATAAAAGTGGTGAAAAATATAGAACGTTTCACTTCTCTTTTCTTCATAATGATTTCCTACCACGTAGTAACGGCTACATCCATCAATTTACTACACAATATATTGTATGAAAGAGTTGGGATATAAAATTCCACGGCACTCCAGAGAGGGTCTGATCTGAGCTTTATGAAGCATCAAAAGTTGCTGAGGTGTGTATAATTTTGTTGTTCGGGATAGTTTTTAAAGCTTTTGAGGAACAGCCCCTGCAATTCATGCAACATGATTGTGCCAAGACATATTGGTGTCCATTTTAACCCCCATCGGAGCAGAAAATGGAATTGTCTTTCCTGACAAAATTACCCTTGCGGAGTCTTGGAATGTTGCTGATAAAAGGTATGGAAGCTATTTTGGCGAAAGCCAAGATATATTTCTTCACAAAATCCTCTCCTAAAATTGCCTCTTTCATTCCATATAAAGTGTGATTCCACATAATTTCTGTAATAATTCAAAGCTAATTCTGAGTTATTTGGACTGATGATGACGTTATTACTTGGAGGTTAGGCATCACGTATATTCAATAAACATTTAGCAAAATAAATAATCAAAATCAAATTGACATGTTGCGAGAATTTTCACTGATATTTATTATTTAGCTTATCATGAATCTATTAAAAACACTTTTTGGCTCAGAAACAAAATAGTGTCTCTCGTAGCGCGTAGCTGAGTTAGCATTATTAGGAGATAACTAAGATTGAATCTCCGGCTAAATTAATGTTTTTATGTTCATCTAGACGGACCATCACCTTACCTTATTGACTCATGAAATGAAGATGAGGACAGCGACCCTTCAATTATTGAAAGGTAAATTTTCGTTTTGAGGGTACCCGGCGATTTTGAAAAAATGTTTAAGTGTACTTACGTATTTTGATGCGTAGATTACGAATCCGAAAGAAAAAAACGGGGCTCTCCCTTATTTACAAAGTTACGGCCCTTCAAAGTTCAGAAAAGTGCAACTTTTCAGTCTTCTGTTTCACAAAATAAACTATTTTAAAACACAAGCATGCATTCACTAGGCAACCTTTATACCTTATTCCTCCTTCTTTGACACTTTTCACTTCAATTATCAATATTTTTTCAATAAAAATGTTAAAAAATGTATGGAGCTGCTTTTTGGTTACATATCTCTGTATTTTACGTTTTTAAGGTTAATGGCATAGTTGGTATGACTGATGCAGTAAATATTTCTAAAGTGATTCAAATGTTTTTTACCTTCATTCTTTAGATCGTAAATTGGTTTTTGGTGGTGTATTATGAATTTGAAATAGTAGGCGGCGGCAAATACCAACCGACTTTTTCTGAAATGTCACTAGTAACTAACCTTGAAATAGAAGAATGTCATCAGGAGAAGTATTCGTTTTTAAATTAAGTTTTTTATAAGAAAAATGTCGGATATTGAAGTGAAATATGTCAAAGAAGGAGGAATAAGGTGTAAAGGTGACCTAGTGAATAAATGCTTGTGTCTTTAAATAGTTTATTTTGTGAAAAAGAAGGCTGACAAGTTGCCCTTTCCTGAACTTTGAAGGTCCGCAACTTTGTAAATAAGGGAGAGCGCCGATTTTTTATTTCGGATTCGTAGTCTACGCATCAAAATACGTAAGTACATTCAAACATTTTTTCAAAATCGCCGGGTGCCCTCAAAACGAAAATTTACCCTATAGTCAATTGGATTGGATTGGATATTGTCGTGACTGTGAATAATACAGTGCGATGGTATTATGGTACTAAGGGTTGGGACTTCATTACTGGAATACTAGATGACGTTGAAGTAGCTAGATTTTGAGATTTTTTTTGACAAACTTTTTTTTTATCTTACATAGAAATGATTATTTTTCAATAATGTTACTTCTAATACCTCCAAGAATATGTGTACAAAATTTCATGATGATCGGTTGAGTAGTTTTCGCATGAAACCGACCAGATATTTTTCTCGAGAAAATTCATCTGGTTGAAGCTGGGATGATTCTGCAACCGTGTTAGGAATCGCACGTTAAAAGGTAAGACCTCGTTAGTCCTTAGCTCGCACAAGTTTCTCAACTTATGAGAGTTGTTGTTTGTATGGGGGCAACAGCTGATTAACGGAAAAACAGATTTTAAACAGATTTTTTTTCTACTAGCAAAGAAGCAGAAGACATTCTGAAACAGTGACCTGTATATTCCTTTAGTTTGGACGGTTCAGAAACTCATCAATGGTAGAGACAATTTTCCCAAACGTGTTTATACCAACTGGGTTGGCACTGCATTTATAATTTGAATATTTCAGAAAAAAAAACGTTGATGATTGGTAAAAGAAGGGCGTTATACAACATATTTATTAAAATACTCAATGTTTCTTCCAACAATGGAAAAAGAACGACCTGTTTCGTTTTTGTATTTGGAACTTGAACAATCAATGATTTATCTAGATATTTTATATCTTCTATTAATAAATGACACAGCACTTCACGCCGGCAGGCTCTATATATTCCGAAAATAGTAACAAATTTTATCATCAAATAGTTTTCATCTGGCGCCTCATTTATAAACCTCTGGATTTGTTCAAACTTGAGAATTTTTCATTTTTTTGTAACAATTCAATTGAAGCTCTTTTTGTAAACTCTTCAATATCGTCAGGAACATACAATTCCTCACTATTGTTCTTCATTATGCAAGACATCAAACACCGGCAAGAACTTTAAATGTGACTTTAAATAAAACGCTTGACCTGTAAACAATACTGTTTTTTGGTAACCAGGTGATTCAGTGTCACCTGACACGGCCACTTCATAGCAAATGTGATAATATGAAAATAGTTAACTGACAAGAGATGTCAAAATGTGTTTTTATAGAAATATTGAACTCATATATTTTATTATGAAAAAATGACAGTTTTACAAAAAACTTTGAATGATATTTGTTTTAAAAGTAAATTTCATTTTGTTTGTGAAATTGTTCAACTCGCTTCGCTCGTTTCGCAAACTAATTCACTCACAAAATAAAACCTTACTTTTAACACTCATGTTATAAATACCTATTATACAAATATATACTCATCACTTTTCATGCCTCAACAAATTTTTTTTGGAAAAAAAAAGTTAACGCTACATAAATAGATTTTTGGATATCACCCCGTCGAATAACTCTTTTCGATTCGCTGTGACTGACAAGCAATTACCCTTACCATGACAGGAGAAGTCATGTTAACGTTTTCTCCAATATTAACCTTACTTTATTTTTCAAGATAACGATTTATGTCTCAGACATTCCTCTAAGAAATGCATCAGCTCAGCGGGAAATACGTGAACGTGGTTCTTTCTGTAGAGTGCGGAAGAGGAATGGATTTTCTCAAAAATAACGTGCACGTTACTGGAAATTTCAACAACAGAATATTGGGTATGATATCTTGTTTAATATATTCGATTATTTCTGATTGTTTACTTGCTTTCTAGAATCCGACAAAATTCCAGCAGAAGAATATCCACCCTTTAACACAGAACTGATCTGGGAGATTGAAAAGAAAGAACTTCGCAAAATCAGAAGCGCTAATGTCCCTTTACGGGTTGAGTGCATAACCACAGATGTGCATAACCGAAAAGAAAGAGTTGGGTTTGCTCTGCTGAGCCTTCGCTCAGCAAAAATCATTCCGGAAAAGAATGCCCACGGGGAGCTGAGTTTTGCTTGGCATAGACTGATAGGATGCCAAGCAGACAAGAAAAAGAGTCATCCCGAGTTGTATATTTCACTAACCCTGAGAGATTTCATAATGAACGATGTGGAAGTTAAAAACTCTGCAGATGCCATGCCATACATTTCTGAAGAAGATGTTCACCTAGAGGAAAGTAAAGGTTCTGAATTTCCTATTAAATACTTCGAAGATGGTCATATCCAGGTAGGAGACGAGGAAGATGCTGAGAACACTTTCACTCTCAATCTGTTGGTTAAAGAAGTGGTCAACTTAGACGGACTCTTACCAGAAATATTGGTGTTTCAGAAAAATACAGAAGACTACTTCATATCATTCAAAATTCTAGGAGTGAGCATCAAGACAAAGCCTTTCCGGAAACAGTTACATAGTAGAATTTCCCTCAATGAAAAAATTGTAGTCAAACTCTTATCAACAGAGCAGATTTTGGGCGAGTTCTTCAAAACCCAATCTGTAGTAATAAGCTTTTGTTGTGGAAAAGACAAACTTGGCGTTACGGAATTGGAATTGATGGATGTCTTTGATCGGAAAGATTCGAAATGCTTTTTCAAGTTTCCTTCACCAAATGGCATTATTCCTTTTGGTAGTACCGATAAATCACCTTACATTGAACTGCAAACTTGGCTAGAAGCATCGCCTAGCCAAAAAACTTCAGAGGAAGAAATCCAGGAGAAACCAAAAGCGAGGACAATTTTTTCAAATATTTCCAGAAAGCCTGATGATTCTGGAGATGTGCTCATGCAAAATGAGGAGAACATCGAAAAAGACATGAAAATCACTCCAAAGAAAGAATTGGTTTTGGTGGACAACACTCTGGTATCTTTTACCACAAAATCTATGAACACACTCATAAAAAGTGATCCTCTGTCTGCAAGACTACCTAATCCAATGGATAGCTACCACAAATATCTTGTGGAAATAAATTTGCAGCATTTAATTTGGAAAAAAAATCCCCACGATACCAAACTCATGTTCAAATTCCTCCACCCAAGAGCTGCTAGTTGTACAACTATTTTAGCAGAGATTAGTGATACTAAAGAAGAGAAAATTACACTGAATAATCTGAGTGTGAAACTAAGTTATCTCTCCATACCTGACAAAATAGAAAAATTACTGAAATTCTGGCCTCCTAGACTAGTATTGGCTGACGATTCTGAAATTTTGATCTGCAGAGAGCATGTAATCAATATGAACTGTTTGCGAGATTTTGGACTCGAATATGAAGCAACCTTGTACTCTTTAACTACTTCGGAAGCTTTAGCAAAAGTAGGTGTGGATATAAGAATAAAAGTTGGCGATGTGGAAGAGTCAGATGACTATCATTTACATTTGCTACCGGTGATCATTGATGAAATCATCACAGCGAAGGAAATAAGCGATTTACAGAAATGGAAGCAGCAGGAAATGAAACGCTTCGAAGATGAACTCAGTGAAACTAAAAGACAAGAGCTGAAGAAACTTGAGGAAGAATGGAATGAAAAAAAAGAAAAGTTAGAGAATCAACTGACAATGACAATAAATAAGTGTAAATATTTACAAGAGGAGTTGGTGAAAAAAATGAATGGCTTGAAGACAGAGAAAATCTTGAGGCGTAAGCAGAATGAAAGTCACATTTACGAAAGTATTTTCAAAGAAAATTGGAAGAATTTCTCGAGCGAAAATTCGAAAGAGTTGATTGAAGCTTTTAGTAAAACCCAGAGAGATAATCAACTTCTGAAAGAAATATGTGATGAACAGAGACAGAAACTTTCACAGCTTGAGAAATCTACGTTGACTAAGTCGCAAACCACTAATTTGCTACAAGAGTTGAGAATTTTGGAACAGAAATTTGAAGACGCTCAAAGAGCGAAAAGATATTTCAAAGAACAGTGGCAGAGAGCTTGCGAGGAGATTCATGAACTCAAGACGGAAGATTTGAAAAATTTACAAATTCAAATTAAACAAAGTAAGGAAGAACTCAGCCAGCTCAGCTTGGAGAAGTATTCAGAATATGACAAAGAAGGCAGTGATGAATATGACTATTGAAAAAATTAAGACAAAAATTTTATAAGATCGGAAGGAATAAATGTAACAAAATATGTGATTCTCGATTTTTACATTATTGCCAAATTTGTAAGTTTTGACCAGAATCAACTTATACAGGATTACTGAATTGAGATTCCTAGTGAATAAAATTCAATATTTGATGTTTCAGTTGAAGTACTGTAATTATATTATTTCGGAGATATTTCTTATCTTTTATATAATGCACTTCGAATTTTTATCTCGAGTAATTTGATAGATACTTTTTCGTAAAATAAAATTAACGAAACCAAGTAAGCATCATCAGGACAGATGGGCGTGAGAATTATGTATTATTGAGTACTGACGATAATTATCGAGGAAAATTGTGAGGAATATTTTTTTTGAAGAACGGAACAAGCACTACAGCACGTTGGATGTGAATCGCTAGATTGAATTCATTTGGAAAAATGTTCTCAGAAAGTTTATTCCAAATATACGCAGTTCTCCAAATGGAAAAGTTCTTGAACAGTGAAGTTCGAGGTGTATTGAGTTCAACCTAAAAACGATAAGCAGCCACAGTCCATCGCTTATTTCTGATATGTATCGCTCTTGTTGAAATCAAATGTGCCAAATCACTTGAACACCTTCCGTAAAAGTATGTATAAAAGAGAGAAGAATCTCCAACCTTTCTTCGATGTTCCAGACCATGACGGTTGCAAGTGATATTCGTGTTTCCAATCAAGTGAATGGCACTTTTCTTGATGGAATCCAGCAGCCTCAGGGTCAGCTTAATGGCGGAGCTCCATACATGAGAACAATACTCCAAAGAAAGTCTGATCTGAGCTTTATAAAGCTGCTTTCGAAAAGCAACCTAGATATATTGGTGTCCATTTTAACCCCCAACAAGCTTATCGAAGCAGAATTGTCTGACATGACATTATTATATCTGGTTCGGATACATCTATCTTTTTGCAGAAAACCGTTGCCTGGGTTTCCGTGGAATTGAATTGAAACCGATTACTTTCACCCCAATTCAAAATCACCTCTAAATCTGAGATATGCAACCTTCCGCTGCTAGTGAAGATGTGCATCCACAGCCGATGTCCTGTAATCGAGAGATATCCATCGACGGTCACTTGCAGGGAACGTTCTTTCAGGAAGAGCCATACACAAAAATGATCCAGCAAGCCAAAGCATCAAAGTTTGGCCAGCTAACCCTCATGCTACACACGGTCAAAGGCCTTAGAAATATCAAGTGCAACAGCTCTTGATTCTCCATGTTTTACAATTACGTTATTCCAAATATGGGTGACATAAGTTAGAAGGTCGCCTGTTGATCTTTGTTTCCGAAAGCCATTTTGATGATGGCTCAAGATGTTTAAGGAAATGATGGTTTACAGCTTTATCCATGATTTTTGATATCATTGATAGCAAAGCGATCGGTCTATAATTGTTCGGAAGATTTTTCTTGCCCTTTTTGGGAATAGTCTGAATCTTCCAATAAGAAGCAAAAACCCCCTTTCTTGTAACACAGGTTGAAAAGTCTGCAAATTACTGGTTCTTTGGCGGACTTTTCAATTATAATGACGGGTACTTCATCAGGACCATACGCTTTGTTGATATTAAGCTATTTCTACATTCGCCTGACTAAACGTTGTCGAGAAGTGATTTCTGGCAGTGTGGATTCTAGTGTGGGAATATTGGGTGGTACCTTTCCCAGAAAATCAACTGTGAAGAGGGACGTGAATTATTCAGTTAGTAAATTTGCTTTTTCTATGGCTGTTGTTGCAATTGAACCATCCATTTGTGTAGTGGTGGAATTGTGAGTTTTGTAAAATTTTAATAACAGCTTTAGCTACCGACCAGAAGGATCCAGTCCCATTGGAATTGGTAAGCAGTTCATCCCTAATTATCTGATTAGGAAGTCCTTTGCCTTGAGTGATTCTAAGTTTGCAGCTTTTGCGAGCACAAACCCAGCTCGGCTTTTGGCACTGAGATTTTTGCACCACTGTCGGTAGGCAACAGCTTGCTGGCAATTTTTGTTGAACCAAGGTTTGCCGTTAGGAGTTCTTCTCAGTAAATAAGCAATATATGCATCCATGGATAATAAAATTACTTCCGTGACTTTGAAAGCTCAAGCAGATGAATCATTTGAGCTGAAATGAACATCTAGTCAGGGGAAATTTCGGAATTGGTCTTGAAGATCCTCCCACTCAGCAGATCTGTAATGCTAATTTTTGCGCGGCTTAGATTGTTCCCCAACATTTATCGGTGTTTCACTCAACACTAAAATGAGTTTGTGGTCAGAAGATCTCAATGGAGACTTTACGGTGACAGTGTAAATTTCTGGATTGGCTGTTAGGTATAGATCCAGAAGGCTAGCATATTCACCATCACGGTCAGGAATCCTGGTTGACTCATTTGCTTATTGCAAATGACTCAGCTTCGCCACCTAGTTCGTCTTTGATATTTGAAAATTTGAGCCATTCGATATTGTGAACATTGAAGTCACCGAATACGGAAACAGAGTGAGTTTGAGATTATAGTAAATCGAATTGGAGGGGTTTTGGAATATACAGAGCGTTCCAACATGAACTTGACCTCCTATGTAACTCAGAAACAGACGTGTTATAGAAAAATTCAGATAAATAACTTGTTTTCAGATATGAATTTCATATCAAAATTGATCCAATTACACCCGCTTTTGTGCAGCATTTACCCCTCATATTTTTTCTGATCTCTCCTGTATCATATCTTTATCGAATATTGAACAAAAAAAAAATGTAACAAACAACAATAATGGAACGAAATCAACGGATATTTTGCTCCATCATGTTCCATACAAAATAATACTGTCAAATTTTGATTTTATTTTTCAGTATTCTAAATGTCCTGCATTGACAACTGGCATTCTCAAAAAATGTTCGGTCCCTGCTTTTTCCGATTTATAGATTCTTTATCGGTCGGTAGCCGGTCGGTTCGACGTTGGTGCTTTGTTCACTCAGTCAATCGGCCGATGTGTGAGTCGATAGTTCAAGCCCCAGGCTGAACGCTCGATTTTCAATTGCTATCGTCCAACTCGTGTTAGGAATCACACGTTAAAAAGTAAGACCTCGTTAGCCTTAGCTCGCACCAGTTTCGACTTATGAGGGTTGTCGTTCGAAAGGGTGCGACAGCTGGTTAACGGAAAAACAGATTTTGAACAGATTTTTTAAACAGGTTAGAGTAAATTCACGACTGCAAAAAAACCAAAGATGTGATATCAGGTGATGTAGCCGGCCACACCACTGCACTCTGTATACCAATCCAACATATTGGAAAACGTTCATAAAAAAAACTGTCCGACGCAAACATCGTTTTCTAATGAATTGTCATCATCATTTGAAGTTTGAGCATTTATAGAATTTTGTAATAAATTCCTCTATCGAGATGACCTCCAATGAAAAATGGTCCAACAATACGACGTGACGTATTTTATGAAATCGTCTCAAAATTATAACAAGGAGTTACTTCTTATTTAATTTTCCAGTGATATAAACAATTCTCCACTGAAAGGTTACGTTGTTTGGAGTAGTAACCGTGTCTTTTCGTTCTCATCACTCTCTCCATTCATTCAGTGTGCACAAATTGAAGACGCATCTGTCAAGTTCCACTGAACGTACTGTATATATTTTTCAACTTATATATCTGCCTTCTTTCAAAATTATAAGCGCATCTGGAGTTCACAATTTTTCTCATTACTGTTCGAAATACGAAGACTACAAGAGGCGAATGTTTATTTTCGAATCAGTAATAAGCAAGCCCAGAGATTTATCATTTTGTATTTCAATAAGATGAATCATTGAATATACACCACTATAAAAACAACATAAAAAGCACCCCGTGTACTGAGATTAATGGCTTCATTCAATGTTTTATATGAAATGTGAATTGGCAAAATTATCTCAAGACACAAAATATGAAGGAGTATATTTAATAGAGTCTTTTCAATTTTGAATATATTTATTTTGAAAATTTCCGAAACGTTGTAGAGACAAAAGTGTATTCGAAATTCAACAGCATGAACTGTCTTTTTTATTCTGTAAATTCAGAGAACAAAGAAAATTATTTACTTATTGTTTGGTTCACCTTTTTGTCTCGTCGTTATTAGAGTTCGGAGGCTGTACATATTCCTGGGTGTACGTTATTTTACAGTTAAAAAATACGAGGTTGCAAAGAAGTCCGAAAATGAATTGGTTTGGACGAATTCCATGAATTTCAGTCTCTCAATTATTGAAATGTCTTAAGGTACGCTACAACTGAAGGGACCGTTGAGATTGAAACTGACAAAACGTCAGTCTAACCACAACCTTAAGCAAGATGATTGTGCTGATCGGGTCCCATAAACCCCGAAGTATTCGGGAAACGTCATGAATAATTAATAACCACTCTCTTAGCCCACTCTACAACAAACCGTGATTGGAGAATCGCTGAAATTACACAGTCATGAAATGGGGATCCTGAAACGTTCTGATCTTTTGTGGGTGGAAAAATGATCGTTTTTTTTTAAATTGAAAGGGTATACTTTTGTGACAGATTAATTTTTGATAAAGAAAGTTTTTGGCCTCCTATTTCTTTGTTACAAAAAATGTGGGAATTTTCAAAGTAAGAAAGGAAGAAATCAATTTCAAAATTTAACTCTATACAAAGATGTGTAGATCATGCAAAGAAGTAACTTTCAGACACAAACTGAAAGAAGAAAAAAGCCCTTTCGAAACAGTTATTTTCATAAAAACGTTGAATTAGACGAAAGAAAAATACTTTTGAAACAAATACTTTTGTGAACGCTGAATTATACGAAAAACACTTTTTTCCATTCCGTTTCCATTCCAAACATTCCTATGGAATCGAATCAAATATCATTCACAGGATTCCTGTACAATATACTTCTTCTTCTTCTTATATTTAATTTTTGTCCCAGCTTCCAGATGGCGCTATAATGACCAGTGCTCCTCCTATCAGAATTGATAGGAGCTTCGTCGGGGAGGCGCAGCTGTCTTGCTCGCAGCAATGCTGCCACCCCTTTTTTATCCTTAATAT